AGAATGGCCAAAGGAAGCTGTGGAATCCAAGGACCTCCACAGCCTTTCACTGGCCAGTAAATGCTACTACACTCACCCATTTTTGCTGCTCCAGTGAGCTCTGATCCTGTCAAAGGTCCCTAAATCACTCAAACCCTGCTCCTGAAGCCCCTCAGCAAACCCAGGCTCAGCCCATATAGCCCACCTGGCCTGGCAAGCACAACAGTATCATGGAATTATGGAATGGTTTGGGTTAGATGGGACCTTAAAAATAATCTTGTTCTACCTCCTGCCATGGCCAGGGACACCTTCCACTATTCCAGGTTGCTCCACGACCTGTCCAACCTGGCCTGAACACTTCCAGGGATCCAGGGGCAGCCACAGCTGCTCTGGGAAACTGGTGCCAGAATCTTACCACCCTCATAGGGAACAATTCCTTCCCAATATYCCATCTATCCCTGCCCTCTGGCAGCAGGAAGCAATTCCCCTTGTCCTGCCCCTCCAGGTCCTTGTCCATAGTCTCTCTCCACTTCTCCTGGACCCTTTGTAGCCACTGGAAGGAGCTCCAAGGTCTCCCCAGAACCACCTGTTCTCCAGAGAGCCTTTTTTTTCTCCCTAACCCTAACCCTGAACACCCCCAGTTCTTTGTCATTCCTATGGCAGAAGTGCTGTATTCCCCTTACCATCTCAGTGACCCTGCCTGAGTAAATGCTGCCCAGCACTCAGCTTACAGCTCCCAGCAGCTCCAAGTCCCTCTCCTGCCCTTGATCCATCTCCTTAACCCACCCCCTGGCTACAGACCCCATCTCAGGCACAGATCCCCCCTGACTCCCCCTGCCTATTCCATTCAGCTGCAAGGACAGGACAGAGCTCACCTTGCTCCAGATGAATGTGCCCAGCAGGTTGTTGTCCCCAAAGGGGTTGTCGGTGTTAGTGTAGCCCATGTACTCCTCRCCCCAGCCCATCTTCTCTCGCTTCTTCCTCTCCTTGGCCTCCTTTTTGGCCAACCTCCGTGCCCGCTTCTCCTCAGGGGTCTCCAGAGCCTTCAGCAGCGCCGCCTGTTTCTTCTTCTCCTCCCGCAGCCTCAGCCTCTCCTGYAGGCTCAGCTGCTGCCCCGGCTCCTCCCGGCCCCGGGCCCGCGGCGGGGATGGGGARCTGACGGAGGACACGGAGGACTTGGATCCATCCCTCCTGCGGCGTCGCTCCCGGCTCCGCGCTGCCCTGTCCCGTCCGCGCTCCGGGCTGGAGCCGGAGGAGCGGCCCCGGGACCGCGAGCGCTGTTTCCTCCGGTCCTTACGGTGCCGGTCYCGGCTGGTGCTGCTTTTCTTCTTCTTCCATTTCTGTTTCTCATCGCTGGAGTCCGAGCTGGGAAGGCACAGCCGGGTTTCAGCAGGAGCAGGCCGCGGCCGTACCGGGCACAGAGCGCCTCCCCGCCACAGGCGAGGCCGACCCAGTCACGGCGACACCGAGACAGCGGGGGACACCTACGGCCCCCGCCCCTGATCGCCCCGGGCCGGCGTCACGGGCAGCGCCTGGGACCGCCCGCTGCCAGGCCCCAGCCCCCGGCCCTGTCCGAGCCCGGCGGGACAGAGCATCCCTTCCGCTCCCCTGCCGGGAACACCAGCCCCACTCGCCCACCTCCCCCGACAGACCAGCCCCGCTGCCCCCACCTCCCCCGACAGACCAGCCCCGCTTCCCCACAGACGCGGCGCGGACGCTCCGGGCCCGGTCCTGCTCACCCCGAGCTCGGCTCCCGCCGTCGGCCCCGGCTCCGGCTTCTGCTCCGGCTGCGGTGCAGCCGCCCGCGGCTCCCGGAGCGCGAGCGGCCCCGATCCCGCTCCCTTTCTCGGTCCCGATCCTTTTCCCGGTCTCGGTCCCTTTCCCTGTCCCGGTCTCGGTCCCGTTCCGAGCGGCCTCCCCGGGCCGGGCTGCGCGACCCGGAGCCCATCGGCAGCGGCGGCTCCGCCCCGGGGCCTCGCACGGCTGCGCCAGGGCTGCCCGCCGCCCGCCTGCAGCCGCCCCATCAGCGGCCTCGGCGCACACAGGCAGGAGCCGGGGCAGCCCCGGCCGGGGGGGGCGGAGCGCGACCGCTGCCGCCCGTGCCGATCCTGTCCCCGATACTGTCGCGATCCTGTCCCCGCCTGTCCCGATCCTGTCCCGCCTGTCCCGATCCTG